GGGGGGGGGGGAGGGGAGAGGAAAAAGAGAAGGGAGAGAAATGCACAGGTGACCCGACCATGTGCACGCGATTTGCACTTATCCCTACCTGTCGACCTAGGAAAGACGATTTATTAGATATTTATACAATAAATGGAAAATGCCAATAAGAGTCGACACTTGGTGTTTAGTTTTACTCAAAAATATAATTGTCCATGCATCGATATAATTTTCCAAACGTTTTCGATTCTCAGTTTGGATCCTCTTCAGTGTAAGTTCAATGTCGATGTTTTTAATACAATATGTGATCTAACAGTGAAGCGCGGCCTGTGTAAAACTGACTACCAACTTCTTTATCCAGGTATCATCAAATTTCCAGACTTAATATCATTAAAAACATGGACATTGAACTTACACTGAAGAGGATCCAAATCGAGGATCAAACGTTTGAAAAATATCCTGACGCCATTGATGGACAACAAAAGCCTTGGTATTAATGTGTTTGAATAAAATCAAACGTATTAACACCAAGGCCCTTATTGGCATTTATTGATTTATTTCGTCAAAGCCTAAAATCTCTCAACTTGAATATTTATTTCATACATTCGGCAACAGTCAGCGAATGGTCGAACTTGATCTATATGAATAAATGATTCCTCATATGGACAATTTTCAAGCGATAAACGTAATGTGTTTTTAACCATGACTAATTTTATATATCAACTGTCACTTAATTAATATCAATAATTATATAATAAATAAAACATGTAATATGATTATTAGCAGATATGTGGAAAATATGCAGCAATAAAATTTTTGCATTGCAAAAGTGTTTTATAAAAATTCTTAGAACAATTAAGAATTAACATGAAAAAGGTTGTTAAACGAATCAATACTTTAGTTTCTATAATAACGAGGCTTTTTCTACGTTTAATTTCAAATGCGCGACTTACTTTTTAATAGAAATATAATTAATAAAACAATCTCAATGATGATGCCTGATATTTTAAGACACTTTGCATATAACGTAATTTTATGTTTCCTATTGTTGTCTTCGTCCCATCACGTCACGTGGGTATTTCCGGTCGCCTCGCGAGGACACCGTCGTAGATAACAACGGGAATGGTCTATCTTCTAATATACATTTTATGATTACACCATGTAAATTATTCCATCGTGTGTAGTACCGATGGTACCGCACAGTTTTTACACACTATAGATACAAATCTAATCCTGATAAGATCGTCCTTTCAATAATTTCACTCGTGATTTTACATCTGTCCCTTCATTTTCAATAAGAAAATATTATACGTGATTTAAAAAGCAAAGGTAAAAATATATGTAATATATTTATGAGAAAGAGATTTGAGAAAGTATAACATCGAAAGAGAAAACGCGGTCTGAAATTTCTCGAAAAACAAAAACTCGAAATTGTAGCATGAAATAACCCCGAACCACCCTGTATCATTTCTAGTATTGATTCGCATCCGAGATAATCCGTTATGATATTGAAAAGAGTTCTTAGGTCTTTTAATACGTATTTAGTCGCATTGGGAAAGGAAGAAATCTCTGATTATAGCCTCGCGAACGCGAGATATCACCGGAATGAGAACCCGTGCTTTTCCATTCGCCTGCGTGCAGCATGCGCTCGCGCACACATTCGCGCTTCTGTATCGCTGTGCGTGCGATGTAGGTATTACTTAATAATATCCATAACCGGGAGGTAAATGTTGGAGTGGGCGAGAGAACGAGAAGGAGAACGAGAAAGAACGAGAGAAACGAAAAGGGGAGAGGGAGAGAAAGCAGAATAAATGTCGCGAAATCGTGAATGCTCCAAGTTAGAAGATAACAGGGAAAAGTGGAAAATCGATTATGTGAAAATGAAAAGAACATCATTTATATTCTACAACATCAACAAGCTTTCCTCAGGTGAGTGAATTTTTCGTGAAAGAAGAGATTCATTAATTGAGATTCGCGTGCGTCATTAGACAATGAAGAATAAAGCACATCTTTTCGCGATATTATGAAAGAGCATGTGTTCTCTCTTTTAGAAAAGATAATTCAATTTCCTACTTTAAATCCCAGCATTTCCATTGTATTTAGCGCTAAATATACTGTCCTACTATCCAATGTTAAATATTGTAAGATTCATTTCGAATTTTCAATCATGTAAATAAAAATGGACGCATCTATATTCGGCGGTAAACACACCGTTAAATATTAAGTGGTCAAATTTAAATCAAATCCTTGAGTTTATTACTTTTAAAAATAAAGTAAAATAACTTTTATCTTATTCCGCTATGGAAACAGATTTAAGTGTAACCAATTTTTTTTTTAAATAGACCACTACGTATTATTTTACTAATATGTTATTCGTTGTAGTTTTTTCGTTGGAGCAAATTTAACAGTATAGCTGCTCAAGAAGAAACATTCGCAATATATAAATTGTGCATTTTTCCACCAAGAATACATGACTTCAATTTGTCGTTAATTCGCTAAAGTAAGGCCGAAACATTCATAATACATATGTAATATGTAAAAAGAAAAAGAATAATGCAAGTAACAAGAATTCATCTACGTTACTGATATGTCATATGTATAATAAATATATTATTATATGCTAATGTTAACTGCGGTGTGTTCTCTCAGTTGCCTTTAATGTTTTATTATCGTAACTATTTATATATACGCAAAAGAGAATGTGACAGATGGTTTGTACACCGTGTCAAAATAATTGATAAAACTGATTTATTAAAACCATCTTGAGATTTTTAAAGGCTGCTAAAGTAATTGTTTAACATGGGATTGAATATATGTATATAGGAACATAACCACGTTTGACAGTATGAACTTTCCATTGACGAAAAAGATAATGCATCGTGTCGTATCAACTTTCAAGATCGACTTTCTTGACACTATCTGACGTTATGATGTATAGCTATTCCCAAGAGAGGCACCTTCTCCCTAGGCGGGAAGAACCTGCACGAAACGAGCCGAGGGATAAGTTTTATCCTGCAACCCACCACTGCGTCGTCGTTCATCAGACTGAATAATTCCGTAATGTCGCAGCAATCCCCGAGGACGCGCGTCGAGATATCACAAAGAGACAAAAACAACCCCGAAGAAGTAGCGGTGACACTTGCTCGTCCCGTCGTCGCACTCGCTCCTCCCCCTCCTCCACGTCGGCGGACGCGTTCGCATCACTCACTTTCACTGACTCGTGCGGCCCGTACGGGCCGGCCGCTGCGGTTCCTCCGTGCGCAAGGGGTGGCACCGCGGCGCCGGCACGAGAAAACGTCGATACTACTCTTTTTCCCTCTCGTCGCGACGCCGCAAAATAACGACGACGTGCACGACGGTGCCTGCAAGTACGTAGCAGGTGAAGACGAAAGCGGCGACGTCGATGCCGTCCACCGGCACTCCAATGCTCCGTGGGTCCGTTCGCGGGGCGTCGACTGGCACAGTCCTCGCGCGGACAGTCACGAGCAGCCCCTCCGCATCCCGACTATCCGCGCGCGAGGGCCGCACGCTGGCCAAGCAACCGCGAGGACGGGCCCCGGCTCGCCGTGTGCCATCGGTTTCTTCGCGGACGCGGTATAGTTGCGGCGACACGCGGAGTGTCGGAGATTGCACTCCTCCTCTCTCTCTCTCTCTCTCTCTCTCTCTCTCTCTCTCTCTCGTTTCCTCACGATCGTCGGACGACGCGACGCGACGCGACGCAACGCCGGTCACTCCGCAGTGTTGGATTGGAGAACGCACGCGGCTCACTCTATATACGCGGGTCACTCCGAAACGGTCGAGCGCACGGTGCTCGCGTGGGAGAGGAGCGCAGGGAGAGCGAGAGATTAGCGCGAGGCACTTGAGGGAAAAATCGCGACTATGTCAATTGCGAACGATCCCTTTCCACGGGCACCGTGGCTGTCGCGCGACCGTGGCTCTGGGTTGACTGGTACGCGTCGCGCAAGACCAGAGAGAGCCAGCCCCACCGTTTGCCCTCTCGTTCCCTCTCTCGTTCCCCTCTCTATCAATGCCTCTTTGTCGGTCTTTCGCGTTTGCAAGTCGGTTGAAGAGAGAGGGAGAAAGAGACGAAGAAAGCGCGAGTGCGACGATGAGGAGGGCAAGAGCACGGTGCGCAGGGCACAAAGCATTCAGGCGGGGGGAGGGGGGGGGGAAGGGTAGAAGGGACGCGGACGGGGCTGCGGGGGAGGAGGAGGGAAGGAGGGAATGCGCGCTCTGTGAGTAAGGAAACTCTCGCGACAGAAGAGAAGAATGGGGTGGCAGGGTGAGAAAGGAGGAGCGGAAGGTGGAGGGCTTTTAGATAAGTCGAGACTAAAGAGATGCGAGAGGAAAAGGGTAGTAAGGGTTGCTGTAAACAGGATCACGTTGGGATAGGTCGAGTTGCAGCCCGTACTCCCTTCGATATACTTTCCGGAGTCTTCCGCACGGACGCGGAACGATGCTCTGATCGTAAGGAATCCCCTTCGATGTTAACCGTCCTGATTACAAAGGGTGTACGGACACAGAATGTTCATAATATAAATATAAACTTGTGCGATGGTTTCAGCTTGAGAAGTTCTAATACGTGCGCGTATGCTACATTACATCACTATCACGATATGATGTCATATGGAAAAAGATTATTAGGAGAGTTATAGATTCTAATGCGGATACCAATTTAGATGCCAATGCTATTTTTAATCATGACAAGTTTCTATCTAATTTCTAAATATCGTAAATACTTGTATAATAATTTCCGTTTCCGTACTCGTGTGTGCGCTGTTTACAATTTTGATAAAAAGAAAAACCGCTCGTTAGTGACTATATCTTTAATTGATTCTAAAAGAAAGATTATTTCCGTCCAAATTATTGATTACACAATTTACTCTTAGAGCATATTGTACAATTAAATAAGACTTTAAATCCATTAGTTGAACCTCGTTTAAAATGCGCCTTTTTCATCCAATGTCCCGATTATGTCAGCTCATCGTTGCGCGCTAATAAATATAATAAACGACGATTTTATAACGATCCTTCGTAAATATAACACGTATGTGACAAGAGGGTGGAGGGGAAATGGAGAGGGGGTTAAAAGCGTTTACTTTCTGTCTAGCGAGGCCGGTTACAGAATGGCGCACGCACTTACCATACCACGATCGATCCTAAACAATCGATTGGTAGGGATACCGTCGTCGTCGTCGTCGTTGTCGTCGTCGTCGTCATCATAGTTGTAGTCGTAATCGTAGTCGTAGTCATAGTCGTCATTATTACCACAACAAAGCAGATTTTATTCACTTAACGAAAAAGCATCACCATCGTTGTCATCCGGGTCTCACCGTTATGGCTAATCATGATTCCTGATTCTGTAGTTAAAACAGTTCGACTATCGGGAACCGAACGCTGATGAGAATTTCAAGAAGGCATCGGTGATTTATATGAATGAAGAACTGAAATAACGGCCATCGAACGTTTAACTTTGAACGTATCATTCATTGTTTTGACGTTTTTTGATTGCACCTTTAAGTTTTCTATTATTAAGGGAAATTGCAAACTTTTTTTGATTTTTTCATATATTAAAATGTCAAAATAATATAAGGTAACAATGAAAATTAATTATTTAAAATTACAACCTATACTGGAGAAAATTGCTCAGAATAACTTCATTAGTTTTCATATAATAGTTACGAGCAAAAGAGCTAAAATTAAATTAACAGCCTTTTAACAATTAAATATAAAGTTTATGTAATAAATAATATGATAAGGAAATTAAAATTAATGTAGTAATTATAGAGAGAATGCTGAAAAACTTAGCAGAAATTTGAAAAATGTTTAACAAGCGCTTGTATGTATAATGAATCGCAAGTTGATATACATATACAGAAGAAAAAAAGAAATGTAATAGCGATCGTCGATGGGTTTTTCGAAATATAAATTGATAATGTGGAGTCTACACGGAGAAAAATAATAATATAATATTTCAATAAAAATTATATAGAATAATTTCAATAAATTATATAGAATCAATAGATCCACATAAGGACAGGCGTCCATTTAAGTACAATTTTAATTTCTGGTAAAAGAACAATTGTCGATTAGTTATAATACCGTAAAATATTACTTCTTACATTTCTCTCTCTCATAAAATAAATTTATAAAAATTACAATACATCTCAAGTAGAATTTACTTCATCGACGAGTTTTTTTTTCTTGGCATTGACAAACTTTATTTTATTGTAAAAAATACAAGTATGTAAGAGTCCTGAGAGTTGTTTGCTCATCAGTCTTGAAAATAGCACTCCAGACAACGCAAAATCAAGATATAAGACATTTTTGACGTTTAAAAGACATACAAAATTTCTTATGTTTTAATTTTAGATTTTGTGTTGTTTGGGACTTTATAGTAAGTATGATTAACTTTACTAAAAGTATGATTTATTTTACTGTAAGGCAATAACCACTTGAGATGATGTACTATAATTATAATGTATCTTTTACCTTACATCTTCGATCTTTCTTACTTTTAAACAAGTAAAATTTATCATAAATTCGGCACAAACAGCTAGAATATTTTCACTAGTCTTTTAAGGTTAAAAAATTTCTCAACTGTTTTTCTTCATGTAATGATTTAAAAAATATAATAATTGCCATAGCCATAAATAAATTGTAACCATCGTTTTAATGTCTCTCTCTTTTGTTAAAGTTTTTACTTAAAGCACTTCATTATATGTATATAATATATGTATATATGTATATACGTGTATATATATATATATATATACACACACCATATATTATCTTTCTTATTAGTGAGCATTCTGACTCTCATTTATTTTTCTTAAGTAACTGCTGCAGACAGTTTCTTTTCATATTCATTACGTAGTTTCGTAACTCATTTTTATACTTCCACATAATTACATGCATATTTTCATAATTAATCTAATTTTACCAGACATTTCAAGTTAAACATTTTAAATTTGGTATTGCACGGCATTATTATACCATTTTTCGGCGTAACAATTCTCTCCTCTTCGTACAGAATTGAGATATATAGAACTTTTTTCAATGATCATATAAAAGCATCCGCGACACTCGATATCGCACCGTTAGGTCGTTCACTCCCACCCACTCAAGCTTATTGTCGTTTCGCGTATTATTCCAGATGACGGTTTCTCCGCAGGTACGTGGGAAGACGCGGCGCAATCGGATCGATCGGCCCAAACGGGAAGAAGGATCTCCATTATCCGGCCGTGAAAAAAATGAACCGGAATTCTTAAAAACTGATATATAAAACCGAACCGATGTCGTGCGAGATGGAAGAACTATCGATCGTGAGGATCCGATCGTTTGAATTTCAAAGTACTCGTCGCACGGAAATATTTACATAATGTTGCAAATACATGAATTTTGTCGGTAATAGAGCTCCATCCTGAAGAAATTTCCGAAAAAATGAGGTTAACATGTTATTATTGTAGCCAGGTTCTTTTTGCAAACATTTTGCAAAACATATTTACTCTTACTTGCATTTGATACTTTTTTTTCTGATACTCATTTTTACGAAGGCAGTTATAAAAGAATACATTTAAAATATGATTTTTCAACTAATTAATCATAAAATATATGACGTTACGTATTATTACGATCACGTATACTATAGTGCTCATAGTTATATGTATATTATAATATAATTATACAAAGTACTGTTAAAGAGTAAACTTTTGCAAAGAACTTTTGCAATTGAGTAACAGTCAAATCGAGTCTTGCTATTTTTCCACAAATTCGACTCTATCATTAAAATTTTTTTTAAATACGATGAATAAATGCGTTGATAAAGAAAAATGTAATAATGCAACAATGTCCTGTTATGTGGACGGAGATACTACTGTTATTGCGAATTCTCACAGTTTTACCGACCATATGGGCGTGGAATCGTGCGGGTTTGGTAGAAGACTTGTGACGCAATAGTCTACCGGTTATCTGTGATGGAAACGACAAATTACAGTTATTTACGCGCATCCACTGTCAATGACCCATGCGGCTTGAAACCGGACACAAAAGAGCGATGAATCGAACGGTCGAGGACGTTGCGGTTTTGAGTCGGAGCTTGAATTGGGAATTTTATCAGCAATTCTCGATTCACGTGAAATCCCCCGTTATTATAACATCTCTCCTTTTATAGCATTTATTTTTACATTTGCGTTAATTCTTCTTTGAAGTATTGATTTATAAATAGCTTGAGTGTTAATTATGATCATTCCTGTTATAATGTATTAAGTATCATTATGTAATAATTAGTAGATACTTAATATTATTCGCAATTATATCAATAGGTTTAATTAAATAACTGCAGAATTTTTATAATTAAAGAGATATAGTTAAAGCGGATATAATCTCTTAAAGTAACATAACGTTGTCTGAAGTTATACACACAAATCGGTTAAAAATTATATAATATAATACATACTAGTGAATAAACGTAATGAAAAATAATCATTTATTTATAGAGACAAGTCAATCTTCATAAAAATACGTCATACCTTCTTCAACCATTTATGCCCCTTTAATTGATGCAGTTAAGCCGAGAAGATACAAGACGCTTATTAAATTCCTAGAAAGGCAAAATTAAATGTGCTGCCGAGAGAAACAAGTTTTTTTTATTTCAAAA